ATACATATCTGATTTCCTAGATCTTCGAGACAAGCCTCACAATCTGATTAGAGTTTCTCTAGTATCTTTAAAAATGGCAGGTTGCAGGTCGTCTGATCTAGCTACCTTGTAACCCTTCAGGGCTTAGAATTCCTTCCGGATCTCTGCTTCTGTGGGCATTCCTAGGAGAACAACTTGAAGCAACCAATGTGAAGTGCCATGTCTAGCGTTCCAAGAGTCGGTGAAGAGTGTATATTCGCGTGCCGTCTACTTCGCAGATTTTTTCACCATCGCACTGCTTTTTGGAGCCCGTAACGCAGGTAAGTTAAAATGGTTGCCGGGTGTTTCCACACGGAGCTTGTGATTCCATCTCCTTGTCCGTAGCGTCCACCAGGCTGCTCGGTCTTATCTCAAGCTCTGTGAGTTCACGCTTCAGGAAGAGGCGCTGTTTACTTAATTCGCCGTCTGCGGGGATTGCCGACACGCTTCGAGAAGTCTGAGAGAAACTTGGAGGAGACCCAATGATTTATGATTCGGTGGGTTAGACCTCAACTGCGTAAACCGACTGAGTGCATTGTATTTCGAATGGTTATCCAGTGTTGATATACGCTTGCAGCCAACTCCTTTTGTAATTGGCTGACACGGCCGGACACGAAAGCCTGGCAACGTCAAGCTGTTTGCATCTCATCCTTTTGCAGCCACTAATAGCATAGAAAACTTAGCACAAACCCGTACGTGGTCGGGGTCGGTGAGATTCGAACCAACACATGGGAGCTGCCTAAGCTTTTTCTACAGTGCACGCTCTACTAGCTCAGCTACTCGGCCACACCGATACCACTGATCTTTTTACATTCGAATCATCCATACAACTTACAGACGCACATCACATCCTCCAGTCAGCATGTAAGCCGACTGCTACGACAGGATATCCGCCGAATTCACCGAAGTCACCCGAATGAATATCTCAAGCAAGGTTAATTGTTCAAATGGTGTACACCATATGCCCCTATATATTGGATGGGTGATTCGAATGTGAAAAGATCAGTGGTATCGATGTGGCTCAGCTGGTAGAGCATGCGCTGTAGAAAATGTGTAGGCAGCGTACATACGTGGGTTCGAATCCCACCAGATCTACCGAGCGTTCCACAAATTCAGCATAAGATATGAATCTGCCAAGCAACCATTTAGTCTGTCACCCCGGTGGAAATCGCCAGACATTCGCCTTTGCCTCACCCACCCCGCCTGCATTGTGTGTTCATAATCAATGGGCCTATTCCGTGCTTCGTTTCCACTAGGGGTATTTAATACCCCTAGTGGAAACGAGCGTTATGCAAATAGCACCCAACTTTTTATACGTAATACAACTGTCTTCCTCGAAAACTGCCTTCATCGGATCCTAAACAGCTGCCGCTTTTGAGGCAGATATTCACGCGTGGTGTCCTTGGAAGAATAGTTGTCACCTTGGAACTGCGTCCACTGACGGAAATCATTGCAAATGTTGAGGCTTCCTTGTTTATCACAGCCTTTCAGCTCGAAACGACTTGCCCGATTGTAACGTTACAAAATTATCACTCCAGAGGAGTGATAACCGACTTTCCTCATTGTGCTGTTCGGTAGCATTTTAGATTGGCCTCTTTCGTCTACATGAAAGTTGTATCTTTGTATATTCAATAAAAGGAAATAAAAATGAAAAACGTGCTTCACTAGAGTCTCGCGACTGAGAAGATCGCAAAGAATGACTGCAATAGTTCTCATAAGCACCCTGATTTAGTTTAATTCGTCGAAAACCCTTATTTGCTAGTATTTTCTTTTACACGTTGTTATGGAAAGGTTATTATGCGGAAAATGCTTAAAATAACCCTGGAAGTCACAGGTAAGCGACCTATCTTCATGCCAACTTGGAAGTTCGAATAAGCTAGTTCCGAACGTACAAAGGAAGTGTGTTTATTCGAATCGGGATGGCTTCCTCAAAGGATAGAAGACAGAATGTGACCTCATTCGCTTCCCACCCATTGATAGATCAGAATGATTCATTCAGTTGTAGGCATAGCAGTCACAGTTACTTCGTTTATAACCAACCGGTTAAAAAACCACTCAAACCAATGCTCTCGGATAGATTTGGCCAGGCATCCTGTGGTTCTAACTCTGTAGCTTGGTTAGCAAGAAGAAACCAATTGGTAACTTGAGAAAAAGTAACTGCAAAATGATGTATTTTCCAATAGTATCCGGTCTTCAATCTATGATGAGAACGGTGGTATATAAGATATTATTAGGCGTTAATACTGTACGCGGTATTCACTCCCGATCTCAAGTTTGAGGCTTCAGGTAACCTACGGAAACAGTCACAAACGGAGGCAATGGATGTCGGCGACGTATGCTGACTAACGGGTTGTTTTAGATGACGTCTACCAATGTACTGAGCATTTCCATTCCATGTATTAAAATGCTCATAGGTGTTGGACACTTCCCACACCAAAGATGGGGCATTACATCGTTTTTTCGTGTCACGCTAAATTAAACATTTGTACCAAATAGTCGGTCCACTTACTGACTGTTGTTACCACCCATTCATTTTTAATGATGCACTTAGATCTATCAGTTTGGATGATAAATGTTGGCAGCCGGTAAATTCACGAACAGGTTTTCCGGATGCCGAAGCGCTCGTTGAGATGCAAAAACTGCTGGATGCAAATTTCGGTCTCGCACAGGACCTCAAGGTTAGTCACTTGTGCATGATGTCAATGTTTCAGACATGCACGTAAATCTGATGGCATATTAAACAAATTTTTCGACATTTTTGTTAGACGGATGTCAGGCACTTATGTCGTCGCCCAGGTGAGTGCCCCCGCTTAGCCATCAGGAGGTTATGTGGCTCACCACTCTGTGCTTCATGTTCAGGTTACGTCTCTCATCTCACTAGGATTACTGCTCAAGGGCATTCTTACTAGAAGATCACATTTACCAATATTCGCTTTGTGGATCGCATTATTATTTCTATACATCAACTTATTCAGTCCGCTTCCCTTGCCATTCCATTCGTATCTCAATCGCAACTTTCCCACTTATTCTCTTCACACTACCTTCATCCCTAAACCTAGGTTTTGTGCATTCATATAATATTCCATTATCTCTACGTCGTTACCCTCACCTAAAACTCACCAATGGCTAGTTGCGGACTATGTGGCTGAAACTTTTGTCTCCTTCTTTCAAACACTACTCCTGCACTGCGTATCGTTCCCCAAATAGTAATGATCCTCTACTCCTAGATATTTTATCGGTAAACATTGTGAACATCGTTGACACAGAACCCGGTTATCCACAATTATGGGTGATTTAAAAGTTCATATCCGAATATGAAACACTCGAAATATATTTAATGACTAGTCCAGGAAGCTTTCCGATACACAGATTCTGATTTAGCCCGTCTGGTTCTAGACTGATAGGGATAGGTACCAGTGATAATACCAATTTATTTAACCTAACCCTTGATCCCTTTTCCGTGGTGTAAAAACCACTCCAGACAGCTTTGCTATCGCCCAGTTCTATACAACACCTGAACTATCGGTGCCTTATGTGATTCGCCACTCCAAGTCTCGGGTATCAGATTACCGGTTATCATCACTGAACAGCAGGTCTTTGTGACTGTGGAGTTCGTCCCGTCTGCTGTTCATCACACGCTGGTGTGTAATAAAAAACCACCACCCAAGTGTAATAATAAATTGTTGTTGGGTCAGAGTTTTATCAGTTGCCAATTTGTTTTTGGCAGTAAAAGCCGACTGAGACACAACCAAACGATTCCNCACTTTACTTCTCTGTATACTACAGATCGAAATTGCAGCGATGGTGAACTTGGAGCGAATGTCAATATCCGAAATGCGTAAATATATCGAAAAAAACGTTGGTTCAAAGGAAGCGCATGTATTACACTTCTGCTCGAAAACCTCTCACGCCTAACTCTTTTCACATCAAGTGAGCTAGCCACCACGTGTTTGCACTTGGGTATGACAACCGGCATTTGTGATGGTGCGTTAGCGACNGACCGCCAGACTGGTGTCAACTTCGGTTATATAACATGATGATGATAGTGCCCAGTGATGAAGGTAAACTAATATCCAAGTGGATCAGTACTATGGTGTGTTGAAAAAACAGAACTGATCCAGAAATTGATATTTTGTAAGATAAACAGCAGCATATGAAATAGGCGTACAGTGTATTAAGTCCGTTTTCACTGTACGTGATGTGGAAATAATTCCAAACTAGTCATAAACAGACCAAAAAATAAAACATGCCCTAGATGAAAGACATACCTATGATGCTACGTAGGACTTCAAACTCTAGAAATTAGAACATTGCTTTACTTGAACATTTCAGTGTGAACGAAACAATAAAAAACTAAATGGCCCTCTGGATGACAACGTATATGAACAAAGACGTTCATTGTGACCTGAGACTCATGTGATTTCTGAAAATGGGAATGGTATTTTAGCAACAGCAAGGAAGAAAAGAAATTTAATTTTCATGAACTCGTCATTTTCAAACACTGCTTTAAAAAGGAGCGGTACTTCAGTTTACTTTCTACGGTAGATACTCCGCGTTGTGGAATAAAGTACCTTACCGATCAACGGCTCAACAGCACTCGCTATGCTTTGTGGGGCGCAATATTATGAGCCAGCGACATTCAATGCCAGCAGTGGCTTCAAACAGTCATACCAAAGCCGCATTTTCAGAACGATTATTCCACAATTCTAAACTCGTATCTAACAAAATGCCGGTTATTATTTCTCAGTATCACAACAATAAAGTGGCCTGATTACATCCCAAATACAAGAATTGAAACCACAAAATTTGAATAAGAAGTATCTTATTTTAGGAAACGTAATAATCCCTATGATGATATCATTAGACATCAACTGTACCCTATCCCAAGGTGTATGGATAATATAAAACGAAATTGCCAATCCACCTATTATTAGACTGGCAATAATGATCAGAGTTTAATGGGGTGAAATACTTTTACCCCGTTTTAAAATGCTTTTTCGATATATTTTTGCTAAGATAAAAAGTATAAATGAAATTCGGTATATCGACTATCCATTGGGGTGCCGTTCGGATTATCAAAACTGGTGTTGATGTTGCACATTCTAACGGAGATACTCCAAAAATCAAGGGCGGGGTTTTGGGGTAATACCTTTGTCATGGATTGTGTTAGCACTAGGATGAACCGCCAAGTGCTGCACTTGCTGAGCGTCCGAAAATCATTGGGTGTGGGAGCTCCACCAACCGTCTCCCGCATGTTGTGCGCTTCCGAGATTTTTGAACTTGAGACTACTGAGCGAACACCACTAGAACGTCTACTCTCCTGGTTTTGTCGTTCACCTTCTGGCTCTAGTACCAAACCCCCTTCCGGTTTCATTCAATCATGGCATTTCAAAAGTCTTGAACTAAGCTCCATATAAAATCCTGTTGGTGAAACGCTCAAATGCGGTTTCCTTGCGATGCTCCTCTGGTAGATTATTGTTTTACTCCGCGGGTATCTCGCTTTCTCAGTTTTTGCAGCTGTCTCAACTGTCTCCTCTGAATACTGCTGTTCCTAAAAGTTAACTACATGTGCTCACCCTCGTCCTTCATCAATACTTTTTTATTCCGAAATTCCTATCCGATCCGATCCGATCCGATTCCTTTAACCTTTGAATGCTTGGTCTTTCACTGCACTTAGCGCCAAGCAAGCATAAGCATCGATCGGAATAAAAGTACAGCCAACGTTTAACTGAACTTCGATCTCCAGCACTTTCCCATTTTAAGAACTAAAACCATAATGCGTTTTTGGCGTCCAAAATACCCTGCTTTCATTTGCTGTCCAACAACATTTATCTGCCCCTTGATTCAATCTATTTTCATTCCATAGAC